GTGAGCCCATTTTATTTCAAAACAAGACATTTTTTTCTCTCTTTTAAGGCAAACCGATAACATCCCATACAAACCTTTATAAATATAAAACGTTACGCAACACGGTAAGAGTCACGTCCGCTTTTCTCGTAGTGAGCTTGGGCTGCCTGTGGTGTCCTACACTTGATTGACTTACCAAGAACTACCTTGTGGGGAGGTGACAGTGGGAACGTTTTTCTCATACAATTCTCTCAGGCCGTAGGTCTTTGACACTCCCACTTTTGGAGAGGAACATATCAGAATTTCTTAGCCGGAGGCTGTTGACATGGTTAACTTATGGAATGATAATTATGAAAACTTTATTTTATATTTGTTATTGTATCGAACAGATGTACTCTACAGTCATTTATTTGATATGTGTTGAAATTGATTATCAACAGCTTGTGGTCCATGGGAGGAAGGGTTAATTGCTGTATGCTGTTTTGAAGAAGAGCCATTATTTACATGCTAACCATTATTGACCAGCAAGGTGATGAGGAAATGGTGAGTCATAATTGGCTTTCACATGTCATCTTGATAATATTAATGTCACTAATTTTTTGGAAGAACTTCTGCATTGGGAAAAGTGTTATTTTTAGAAATGTTTAGGGTTTGTGTGGTGGAGGGGAGTTTGTGGTCTTGTGGTCTAGTCATTAGTTCTTAAGGTGGCTGATACCTTTGTTTTTTTCACCATTTTCTCTAAAACCCTTGATCTCTCGGTCGCCAAAACTGGCAGCAAGCAAGTTAACAACACAAACTTTGTTTTTTCGATAGTTTGGCTGACGTATGTGCTGTTGCCATGGCGATATGAATTGATATAAACAGGCAATTAAAATCGGTTTTGTTTCTTTGTAGAAAATCTAGTCATTAGATTTTCTTTATAATTTGCATGCAACGAGCTTGTAACGATACTCACAAGTTAACACCATTTTTCTAACAATTTAACAGAGATCTTTAATTATCCCTTGTTGAAGGTTCATTCGATTTTCTACAATTTCCTTTGTTTAAAATCTTTTTTTTCAATACTCCAGTTACTTATTTCCTAAAGTATTTTCGTGCCAAATTTCGTGAAATTGTAATGAGTGGTTCTCAAGAAATAGGCATTTTCCCAACAAAGCAATTTTCCATTCAATCGCAATTTTTTTTACATACTACGCATGCGCTGCGTTTAACGACGCTTCAGGTAACGACGAAAAAGCTAAGAATTGCTGGGTTCTTTGCACCCTTAACTTTTCTAACATATCTTTGTAAGAAAAGATAAAAGCCCTCAATACGCTGCGCTAACTATAGAGAAAAATAGCACAGATAGTGCGGGTACGTGTTGAGTAAATAAAATGACCGCTCTATTGACGGCATGTTTGTTTTTTGCAATCCCTGTCCGCGCGCTGAATTGCATCAGCAAAAGCGCGCGCAAAAACTGTGTTCAGCCACCTTGCGTTACACNNTTTTAAAAATTAAGATTTGATTAATTGACCAAACGGATGAACTATATGGAAGAATATTCGAAAATACATAAATAATTTTAAAAGATACCTTTGTGCCACCACTGTGAAAGTCAACTAAGACAGCAAAGTAGGTCAAATGATTACATCTACAAACTGTTTCCACTGAGCTGCTCTTCGCTGAATCTACATGACAACCCTCATCTGCGAACCCGTCTGGACTAAAAAAGGTCATGAATATGACAAAAAGGAAAAACAAAATATGTGAGATAAGTAATCGGAGTCTCAAATAAGCAGAGTATTGAAAGGCCTATTTGAAGAAAGGTCTATTTGAAGAAAGGCCTATTTGAAGAAAGGCCTATTTTTTTAAAGTGTATTTAGACCGTTAAGATACCCTCGCCCCATTCTTTATAGATAAACTATATGACAAACATTCATTTCAGGTACAAAGTATTTCTAGGAGCAACAGACAAAGAGATAAAAAAATCTATGTTATTAATCTAATTTTGACGTTGAATAAAAAACGTATATGAATTTTACCTCCTGCTGGAGCCATTCCAAAACATGCAATGCTTCTCTGCCTCAACGACCTGAATATATATTTTATTTCGTTTGAATCAACTCAACATAACATAAAAAAGGACTGAGGTTATCTTTCAGCGCTAAAACTAACTACCTCTAGGCTTCTGAACTTCAAGATGACATCTTGTTGTAACTTTTCTGGTTTAGGATCCATATCTGCGGTCATTATCCTGGTGTTCACAAACCTGTAACGAACATTTTCCTAAGAATTATCAGTGTTAAGCTTATTAGGGTTATATTCTAAATATGAATAAAATAATTTAGTCTTTTTTTTATAGGAACGTGCAAGCCTTTAAAAACAACAAACGATGCTTGATTAACCGAGTTACCATCCCTCGAGTTACCGTGGACATCCAAATGGACTGGAAGGTACCATTCAGCAGATAATAGGCTAAAAAAGAGTGTGAGGCTTTTTTCGATATTCCTATAAATTGGTTGCTAGGAAAATCTATTTTGAACTTGGATAATAGGAAAGACATCTCTGAGAAGTCACAAGAAAGTTTTCGTAAAGGCCCCACACCCTTTTCTGCAATAATATCAGAAAAATACTTTATCCAAGTTTCATAAAAAACATAACCTATTTGAAAATCCGTGACTTTGCTCTGTTCTGCTATAAAGCACGTTGAAGCGGCTAGAGCACGAAAGAAGTGTAGGGAGAAACACGAGACGTAGTTGAGTGCAAATCGAGATCCTGAACGAAAGCCCTCATAAAAACTTAACTCCTGCTGAAGACCCTAACCTGGACCATTACATCTTTCACTATTTGGTACCAGCTATTCTAAAACACTCTTCGGGCCATGGATTGCTTTCCTTTTTTAAAAAAATTAGTGTAGAGCAAAAAATCGATGTTTTGAAAATTTGTACAAAATATTGCTAAAAGCAGACCTGCTATGCTTGAACTAGATCTCAAATATTTCGTGCATCAAGCTGACCTTGTATTGTCAGTTTCATTCCCAACAGATTGATTTGTCAGTAGTAGTTCGTGAAGATCCTTGTACACACACGCTACGATCACGGACCCTGAAAAGGAAACAGACGGCAAAAAATAAGGGAAAGGTATCGGTGTATGCCAAAAAGCAAACCCTTAATCTTGAGAGGTAATTTATGTTTAATGAAATTTGAGTTCGTACGGGAATCTTG